TAGATTGTTTTGATGTGACGTCATTATGAATAAGGGCAATTCAGACCTCGTTTTATTTTGTTCGCTATGGCGGTAGAAAATTTGAACTACTTTAATTTGTAGTTCTTGACACATGTCATTGTTTGTATAATCTCGTCTCGTTATATGCGCGTAAGTAATATATAATAGTCTTATTACTATATATATATATATATATTAATGCATATATTTTAAGGTAGTTTGGGACTTATAGAAAAGTTTTGAAACTTTGCATAAACAAAGATCGATTACTCAATAAGTACTCAATTATTTCTGAGTTAGGAAACTGGCTCCATTTACAATTCGCGAACCATGCGCCACATATGCATCATATAACTTTGATTTCAATTTAATAGCGTTGACGTCGACCTTATAAGGCGCTAGTAAATACGTAAAGTGAATATTTTGAGTCTTGAAAAAGTCACTGTCGTTACATTTCTTCGCAGCGGTTTGAACGGTTACCTGAATGGCATGAATTTTGTTGCATTTATGAACGATGACAAAGTCAAAGGCGCTGGTATTAGGACAATGGACTATCATTGCACTATATTTATCTCTAATTATCTGTTCTATCGATTTTCTCGTATCTGTTTTGCTTTGATGTCCACACAAATTTAAGTAGGAGCTAGCAGCAGTGGAACTACATGCCTCTTCCTTGAAGGAATACTCATTTTTCACACATTCCTTGAGATTGCTAAATATCAGCTTCTCCCAATATTTGCCAACTAAGTTGCCAGGTCTCCCTGCAGATAGGCCTTTTATGGTATCCACCTGATGAATACATGGAGCCTCATTATACTTTATGCTTTGGGGCGTGACACGCTGAATGAATGGTGAATGAAGCCATAATTATTTCTTTCAGTAACCAAACGCAGGGATGTATCCAGCCTAGTCCACCGCGGTCAAACGTCCAACGCGGTTTTCGTTTTATTCAGTGGGATTTTATTTAATGAAAGCAAGGATGAGTAAAAAAATTAGTTCACGTTATTATCTTTTAATTTTTCTCAAAATGATGAGCTTTTTTCCGTGGAAAACTGACCAAAACTCTTTGCGCCTGATCCAAATTATGTTGACAAATGGCGTCGACGATTCGATTCTGCGGTTCACAGTATTTAGAACTTTTTTGGTAAACTTTCAAAACGTTTGGTAAATTTTGGTAAATATGTTGGCAATATATTAAACTTTAATAAACAGTGAAAACGACTACCTTAACCTTTAAGTACTTTGTTTAACTTTTGCAAATTTCTCTCGTTTGACCGCGGTCAACCAGCCTATAAACCTGCAGATTTGTTCCCCGTGGGGCAGGGTGGGGGGGAAAGTTCGGCTCCCATACTGAACTGACACCAGGGGGGCTCGGCTGTGGCCCTAAAAATGACCCCTAAAAGGCACTGTAGGTTGAATGAAAAGCTGATCGAGAATGATATTTTTGTACTCTGCTTTACATGACAAATCAGTTGACTGACTTATTGGCATCTGGTTATCGGTTACCGATTTCAGTGTGTCATGAAGAATTCGACATGTTTTGGTTGTCTGCTCATTCTAGCGCTTAATTTTTTGTTAATAGACGAGGTACTAGTCGAGCACATTTACTATAATGTTTAGCATGGAAAAAATGTTGTTTGTTTACCAAGCAGGGATTCGGTAACCTGAAACTGAAATTCTGAAATCGGTAACCGGTAACTGAAAGTCTGAAATCGGTAACTGGTAACCAGATTCCAATTAGTAATCAATTGACACCCTAAATGGTACCAAGTTAATTATAAAATTGTTTTTTCAACAGCCCCCCTAAATGGTACCATATCTGGAATTTTACACACAAAATGGTACGGTCGAGCCCCCCTGTCAGTTCAGTATAGGCCCCCCACCCCAGGATTTGATCGCCAGAGTAAAAAAATCAATACTTACTACATCCAACAAATAATTGGGATTTTCCAACGTATACTGCACAACAGCTTCTTCAACCAGAGGGCTAACGACGGATACTTCTATCAAATCGAATCCTGGTGGTTTCAAACAAGACCAGGAAAACGTTGATGGTGACCACCTCATTTCAAAGATATGAATAGCCTTGCAAGTACTTATCATCGCTAGTGACCTGATGCGCACACGTTTTCACCTGTCAGGAATCTGCAGTGCTTCGTCTTCCAGTGCTTGTAGAATATTAGTAATTGCCTTGGCCATGAAAAGTTCAACGTTACTGTTGC